CGATATCATATTTAATATGATGCCATCGCATTAATATGTGTCAAGATAGTGAAGAATTTTTTTCGCATAGATTTTTTGATAAACGGGGCACCAGCTGAAGAATTCGAATACACTCTCTCCTTTTCTATTAAAATTCTTCATTATTGTTTTTCTATTTTTTTTTCTTTTTTTTTTTTTTTTTTTGATTTTTTTTCTTTGATTTGATTTCTTTGATTTGTTTTTTCTCATCACAAAATACACAAGGGTTAAGTACGGGGGATTGGGGATGGACCTCGCGCGCCCTGCCGATCAGGACTTGTACCTCACACAACTCCCTAGTTACGAGTACCGAAACCTAGTTACAAGCTAACAGGACATCTCGCGCACATTGATTAGCATCTTCGCTCTCGAGTTCGTCGCATTTTTTTTTGTTTGTTTTGTTTTTAAATAATAATAATGTGTACGTAACTTTCTTCATGATGTTTAACGCTGCCCTAGCTAATCTCGATCCCTATCGCACAACCACACACTCACGCGGAGAAACAGCACGTTGTTTACGTTCTTGGTACTTTTTTATTCGTAAATAGTTTTGTTCTCGCGTCTTTTTTTTTTTTGTTTTGCCTCGTGTGTCTTTCTCGGTAACACGTCAAAAATAAAAACTTCAATAAATTAATGAGTTTATTTATTAGCCTATTCTCGAGCTCAACACGACGACTCACGCACGTTTTTACGACAACTCTCACTCTCTTCTCTACCTCATTCATTCCTCACGGACTCTATAAAGTTAATCACCTATCACTTTCTCAGTTTAAAAATAGACACAAAATTCGTTTTTTTTTTTTTTTTAATTATTATTATTATTATTATTTCTTCTGATGCGTATACTATAACATTTATATCCTATTACGTATATCCTGATCACGGGTAATACCTCTCTCTTCGCGAGCCTATCCGATTACATCGGCTCTCAATCAATTCGCTCTCCATTAACTGCTACTAGTTCTCGCTACCACGGTTTCGATCGATGAAGACGCGCGCCGCGACGTCACCCGCGCGCGTGTGTATAACGCCCACGAAAGAGAGGCTACCTGGAAGTAGACGCCGCGTAGACGATATAATGCCTGTCGTAAACACGCCTACCGCGCGCGATAGTATCGATCATCATCCAACGCGCGCAACTGCATCGAGGCAGTTTAAACTATAAAAGACGCGCGCGCTCTCTCGCCCTTATGGAACGCGCGCACGCGGTCATTGTAATAAAAAAAATAAAATAAAATAAAAAAAAAATGAATAAGCTAAGGGAAGAACACTCGGCGCGCACGTGTTATCCGCACCTTGCGCACCGTGTCTGCATCACGATAAAATCCACCTCGCCGGCCGTCTATCTACTCCCCCTGTACACCTGGTACGCTCCCGAAAGCGCAATCCGCGCGCGCGTTTTTTTCTCGTAACGATTCTCAAAACGATCGCTCGCTCGACGGAAAAACAAAACGTTTCGTCGTTTGAATGAGAGTGATTTAAATTATTATCTCGATTTTCCCGCGCTATCGAGTCTGTATCCGTTCGACGACGAGCTTTTGTGACGACGCTATCGCGCGAATTGATGCGCATTAACGCACCCTCATCCTCTAAATGCTCTCTTCAGCCGCTTTTTTTTTTTTTTTTTTTTATACAAATATCTCTCCGTACGTACGTCGCGTGCGTTGTGCCGTGCCGCAAGAGACCATAAAGAAGAGACAGGAGGAAAGGCAGTGAGAGAATAAGAGAGAGAGAAACAAACGCGGGAGGGAAAGCGAGCGGTTTCGCTCTTCTCGAAGCGGTTCACCGACAAACGCGCGCGCGAACCGCGCGTATCTCGTTATTTCCGATAACTGCCCCGGCCCGCAGATGGGAAAGAGAGGCCCCGACCGCGTCCCGGCCGCACGAAGAGCAAAACGCAGGATCGGTTGCATAAGGCTACGAACCAGCCCGCGAGCCTCGTTCGGCGCTCTCTCGCACCGATAATAGCCCATCACGACTGGTTTCCAAGGCGGTTTCGGGGCGAGAATATCTCTGAATATGTTTTGAAAGCGGATCGTGAGGGCCGATGTCAACGGACGACTGCTGTCTGTCTGGCTCGGAACGGATTTAGAAACATTCTTCCACCGCGTCACGAGACGCACGCGGGCCTTACGTAATCGAATCCGCGTCGGATCTGCGGCACGACCGAGCGGAGACTCGCCGCGCGAGTTAATAACGCCGCGAGCGCGTTAAGTAAGTTTTACGCTACGTAACGAGCGCTCGAAGATTTCGCGGTAGAAACACGCCCGACGGGACCCAGCACCCGACTTCGCCAACACGACGCGAAACTTTCGATCTCCTCTTTTTCCCCTTTCTTCTTCTTTCGCAAATTCTACGCGCAATATTAACAAGCTTTATCAAAGAAAACTTAACACAAGTGACACTTTAACAAGAATAAAAATTGTAAAAAAAACCTACACGACGAATAAATAAACTCTACACTCTCGAATAACTAGTTTATATATGCGAGAAAAGAACGAGAAGAAGAACGGAATGAATGAACTTAAAACCAGTCGAGTGCCGTAGGAAGACCGACACACTCGTCCTTCGCTCTTTCTCGCGGAGCAGTACGAGACACTTGTAGAGAGAGTACATACCCCAGACAGTTCCAACAAGTAGCGCCGATCCAACAATACGCGCGCGACTCTTTTCGATCGCGCGAGTCAGCGTACTCCGCGGAATCTCGAGAGCCCTGTTTTCTTTCTGACGAGATTGAAAAAGAAGATGGTAACTAAACGTCTCGACATCGATCAACACGGTCTCAGGTGCTAGATACCCGTCTCCCTATTATATTAATAAAGCGCAAGTCTGAACTGACGCGTTCGAAACTCCCACGCTCGTACGACTTCGATTTTCAGAAGGCGAGTTTGAAATACTCGCAATCAGTGCGCGTACACAACCCAGCTCAGTCAGTTTGCGATCGAAACCCCGTCATCGATATACAGTTTTGATCCCATATCAGACAGACAAATCGTTCTTGTAAAAAGAAAAAAAAAACAACCGCGTGCGATTACTGGCGAACGTATTGTTTCTTATTCCCCCAATCACATCGATTTAGTCGGGAAAGCGCTCGACGACGCGCAGCTTGACGACACGAAGAATACGAGGTAACGGAACACGATGGCGAAGAAGAGGTAGAATTATGAGGGGGGTAAGCAAATTACGTGGACAAGGAAAAGTGAGGGAGGGGAAGTAATGTCGCGGGAAAAAGATACGGGAGAGTGGAAACAAAAGAAGAGGCCTCGCGGAATCGGCACGGAAGTCGCGTGGTCTATTACGAGCACGGATAAACGGCCGAGCTAATGCTGTAGGCGGCGAGGGCGGCGTGCGCGTGCGCGTGCGCAGGGGGCGCGGATGCGGCTGCGTGCGGCGAGGTGGCCATCGCGGATGCCGCCGCGGCTGCCATCATCATCTGTTGGTGCGTACGCTTTAGGGAGTTGGGAGTTGTGGCGGCGCTACTTGGGGTGATAGCGGTAGTAGTGGTGGTGTTCGACTGCGGCGCAGGGTGGTGGTTTTGGCTTTGGTTTTGGTTGCTCAGTTGCAGGGGGGTGGTAGTGGCAGTACTGCCGATCCCAGTATGATTATTATTATTATTGTTATTATTGTTTTGACTCTGGTGATGGTGATGATGGTGGTGGTGATGGTGGTGGTGATGGGGAGTGAGCGCGTCGTGCGGATAGTAAGACGTTGGTGAGGTACTCACAACGTCCGGCGTGCTGGCACCGTCCGTATGGCTGGTGCTGTCGGCGGTGCTTCTGGGTCCGTTGCCGTCCAGACCGTTACCCAACTCGGGTGGTTTCGAACTCTCCCGATCGTCGATCACCAGATCGATCGGCATCTTGCCCTTCAAGCAGCTAATGTACCGATGGCAAAAGTTGTCGCAGAGCTCGTGTACCTGAAACAGAAGAAAATAAAACGTTCGTTAGCCGGAACTATGGTAGAAAACCAATTAGATCGAGCTGAAGAACCCGAAGATATCGTTTTCCAAAAGTTACTTTCCAACAGGAGGCGGTTGATTAACCGCGCCGCCGGAAATGATTAATAGACGGATTCCGTCGAATGGATCCAACCACGATTTCACCACGGTGCGAGAGATATGAAGGGGAAAGAGAACGGAGAGAATAAGAGAAAGAGAGAGACGCGATCAACAGCGTGCTCGAACGCGGCGTATCGATATACGAAGATGGAGATGGAGAAGGAGAAGGAGGAGGAGGTTGCGCGCATCTCGAGGCCGTAGAAGCGGCATGGTAGCTGGAGAGAAACCGATGCAACGGACAAACGGAGAAGGACAGTGTAGAGAAAGGGAGAGGAGGTCTGACCGGTGTCCAGTCGACCAGAATATTATGTATGCAAATGAGGCCTGACAGGCCTATAGGATAGCCGGTCCTCCTTCGTTCCCTTTTCGACTCATCCCTCCAGCTCTCGCCTCATCCCCGTTCTCCCCGACTCCCTATCCTTCTGCCTCTTGATTCGCCTCCTTGATTCCGTTTAGAATAAACGTATTATATAAGCAAAAGCAAATAAAAATCGTTATCTTGTTATATGTAAATCGTCGGCGCGCCGAGGCATTATGAAGCCACAGTACAGTTCTCGCGAACGTACACCCTCTCCTCCCCCGTCAACTCCCCCGTTCCTGATCACTACCTCACGCGTCTCACCTTGCCCATTTCTAACGGTTACTCATAATGCTTTTATTAGGCATTTATACATAATAGAAAGAACGGCCATCTTTGCCGTAGTAGGTGGCCACCGTCCAATGGTGGCGGTCATCATCGGGTACACCGCGATCGTAGGACAATACGCTTGTCTTAGTATACTTGATACGCTTGAAAAAAAAAAAAGTCTCTTGCTATCGAATTTCTATTGATCGCAAAGTCCGGAGACGATTTCATTCTTGATTACTTCACTCGAAGTGAGTTGCGCAAACGGCCGTACACATCGTCAATAGAAGAAGTGAACACAAATAAAATAAAAAAAAAAAAAAAAGAGACTTAGAGTTCGCGATGATCGGCAATAGTGAATACATCCAATCTAATCGAACGTTTTACATATTGGATAAGATTGCGAGATTACTTGCTTTCGCTCGGCTCGCGGAAGGTGATTCAATGACGATATTATTATAGAAACGATCAATGAGATCGTTATGGGTTTTGTGCGAAGTCACCGCGGGACGACGATACGTTTTGCATCGATCGGCCGACACATTCGTCGCGCTCGTTTAACTCCCTTTAAAAATAAGGAGCCTCCTCATCGCGCGGGTCCGATAACGCGGCAACTTCACTTCTCCCGATCACGCTTCTTCCATCCGGGGGGCTTTTTTCCCGCGTTGTTTACCCCGAGACGTACCACCGCAACGCACCGTAACACAATGCCTTCCTCGAGATGACTAGACTCTCTTCTTAATGCGGGGACCTAAGGGCGGGCGGGAGAAGACGAAAGACTCCGAAGGACAGCGGCTATAATGCCGGACTGGTTAGAATTTGATCCGCCGGGAGTCGAGTCGAACGACAATGTTCACCGAAGAAAAGAAGTACAAGAGACTGCGTTCTCCTCCTCCGTCCCGACCGTTTAACGCGTCAAATCGGTCGTGCTCGCTACGTGTACGAATAACAATCCGATTTTAGAATTTTATAGAATTATATATATTATACTTCAATCAAGAAGTAAGCAAATAATTGAAAATAAACAATTAAAAAAAAATTAGTAAAATAATATAAAATCGAGAAACTTGAATCGATGATTTTGTAATAACGAAACAATTATATTGACAAACAATTAAAATAAAACTCTTATGCAATAATAAAAGTTATGTTAACACTGTGCCTCGAAAATGTCGGAAGAAGTATTTTTTGATAGGATCGATAGCTGGTGAACACTCCAACTACGATGCAGAACATGATACGATCGCCTCGGAGAGCACGCGAGTTTTTGCAATCTATCCTACCATTGAATCGCGTCATCTTACACCGTGGACGATGATCTCAAAGGGAGACCGATACAGGATACAGGGAGGTCGTACCCGGCGATATGACGGGACGCGCTCTCGATGCGTTCGTGTCTTTCTTTTTCCCAAAATTGCTTTTGGCGGTTATCGACGTGAGTAAAAGAACAACGCGGTTGGGTTAGGTCCGATCTTTTCGAGAAGAATGTCATTTGAGGATATCGTCGTGACCGCTTGCGATACGAACGAAGTGCTCTCTTATCTGGCGAACGAAACAAATCTTACGACCCCCGTTCTCCCGGCGTTCGTAATTGGACGCCGTACGAAAATAGTCTCGCGGAATCTGAATATGGCTACTTAAAGTTTCATCACAAGTTAAATTACGATTCAATTTGGAATCGAGAGTTAGCATCGATCGTATTAAACTTTCAGCGAGGACGCTGAGATCGACGCTTCGAACGACTGCGAGTAATGCGATTTCCATTGATGTTTTCACAAAACGCGAAAGCGGAAACGAAAAGCAATTCGGGATCGATAAGCGAGTTCGTCTTCCCTCGCTCTCTTTGAGGTATCAGTATAGCGTGAAATTAAAATTAGTCATCGCGTTTCGCGATGGGAATGGCGCCATCAACGGAATCTTTAAGAAACGCGAATTTTGATAAGAAACAAAAAATCTTTGTAAAGCGTAAAAACCCGCCATGAGATTCATTTGACAATGTTGCGAGGAATGTCGCTGTAACTTGAGATTATTTCCATTTTATGGGCAATTTAACAGCTTGAATGCATTCGGAATGGCGCCTCTTTATATACATGACTGACTTAATGCGCGCGAAGGAGAAATCGCGCGCCGCGCCTGAGCTCCTTTGCCGAATTCCATTCACTTAAACATCGCCTTCGAGAGAACATCTCCACATGCCAAGCGCGCGCGCAGCCAGAGATCAGAGTTTTATATCTGGGTCAGAATTTAGGTCGCGCGCAAAATTATTTCGACAACCTTGATTTTAACTGTCTTTAAAGCAAACATTTAAGCAATTTGAGAGCCTCGGTCTGTAATCTAACGTGATTTGTTTCGTAAATTACTCGCAAAATTGCGCGAGAGGAGTATCAATACATGTAAATAAATTTTGCGTCAACGTGTAATTTGTCAATTTTTTAATATCTTACACCACACTCCATAATTGTACCATGTGCTACGAAAAAGACGAAGACCGACACCGCTCGGAAACCAGTTCTCAATTCAAAGAGAGCATTTAAACGATCCTACCTTTTTGTCAGACGTCCCTGTTATCATAGAAGGAAAGAAAGACTACTGTTCCGCGCGCCCGCTGCGACATTATACGAACTCGGGGAGACCTCGTACCTCTTTTCATTCTCGGTCCCCCGAAAATTGCCCGAAAATTTACGTAAACGAAGGAAAGAACGGGTGAAACGCTCGGCGTTTCTCTCACCTCTCCCTATCTTACATCCGCCCCATCCGCCCCCCTGCCTTCCTCGTCTCCTTCACGGAACTCTCGGAAAGGCAAACGCCGAAGAATGGAGCGGATCCAAGGTACATACGAGCGAGAGAGCAGAAAAGAAGGAACACGGGGAACCCCATTTACGGCACAATGGGCTCCTTTGAAGCCGAAGGTAATGAAGGTTTCGGGGTGTCTGTCTCGGTCTCCCCGATTCGCCAACCTGACCACCCTTACGGCACGCACAGGATATCTGTGTATACCGGGTGTGCGTAGCTTACGGTTTCCTTCCCTTTCCATCGTCGTTTCTACCGATGACGACTTCGTTTTGAATTTTTTATTTTCCGTCACAGATTATTTTCAAATAAACATTTCAAGTTCACACGTGGAATAAATATTTGCAAAGTTTTTTTTATCGCTTTTAGAAACACTTTATGAAAGAATTTTTATTGTCGAAAATTTTACTAGGAACCTCGCGCGAGGCTTAATTCTCTTCTCTAATTATTTTCATCAAAATAACGAGACTACCGAGAGATGTCCGAAAGCTCGTAAGGCACGTACGTACGTGCACATAGAAACACGACGATGTCCCCAGTAGGAGGAAACAACGTGCGCTGGCATAGGTTTAGAACCAGTTTCGTGCGCGGCGCGTCCGCGGGCAGGGGAAGGTCGCCCGCGTGTTGTACCAGTACGAATCCCGTTGGTATGCACTGTGTACGCCATAATATATCCCATAAGAAATTTACCGCTCCTCTAACCGGTGTACGCGAGGCGGCTGTCCGGAGTCCTGCGAGAGACGATGGAAGAAAGAGAGAAGTCTAGAGGATAGAACGGCGGAAAGGAAAGGGAGAGAGAAAAAGAGACAAACCGCGCGCCGCCAGAAAATATCGCAAACGCGCAACGAGGAAGAAAGAGAGAAAAAAAAGAGAAAGAGAGAGAAGGGAGGGAGAGGGCCTGACCGGACCTTCCTTCCGCGCACCGGGCCCCGGCAAAACGTAATTATGCTAATACGCGATTGGTTCGAAAATGTTAAATGCACGAAGCGCAGCACCGCGGGCTACCATAAGCCTCCCTCCATTGGTTCTCTCTCTCTCCCATTTTCTACGCTGCTCTCTTTCTCTCTCTTTCTCTCTTTATTTGCGCTCTCTATCCTCCTCTTTCTCTCCTCCACTTCGAGCACAGATATTTATGGAATCTTCTTCATCGCGCGCCCGCTGCATTCCGCTCCGTTCGCTCGCGTCTCGTCTCGTCTCGTCTCGTCTAGAGGAGGCCCCGGGGACCAGAAACGTTTCAATCTCCGTTACCGTCGATGGCGTGCCAAGCCGCGCTTCATCTGCGGGGATTCGGCGCGCTCGTGACGAAGTCCGGGAGGTTCGCGTGCATTAACAATCCGCCGCGAACACTCACGCGGTAATCGTTTTTCCACGCGAAAGAATATACACCAGAGGCCGCGAGTCGCTATCTTCCGCAACGCGCGCGTCCGTCAATTTCCTTAATCGTGTGCCTCCATTAACGACGACAAATTTAGAAGGCACGAGTAGCAACAAGAAGCAAGAAGCGATAAACGTACGCCGCGTAATTTCGAGCTCCAATTAGTAAATTCATTCGCCGTCCATGCGCGGATAAGTCGAAGGGCGAGGGAGCCGCGCCGAGTTTCGGTGATTTATCCACCTGGCTTAATGACTCCTTCTCGTCCAGTCCGGAATGCGTCGTGTCAAATATTCGCGTGGAAATTATCGCCAAAATTTATATTCCACTTAATTCTATTTCACAGATACGCATTCCATTTACGTACAGCGACGCCAAGGTGGAAGTTCAGCCAATTTTCTGTCAACGGACGGAATCTTCGTGGAACGAGTAATCGCGCGCAATCGAAGATACGCGAGTCGAAGTGTAGCGGCCGCCGCGGATGGTGTGCGCGCGGACATTATAACATAATATAATCAACGCGAATTAGAGAAATTGCTGTAAAATTGCGATCGAATCTGGGTTTATCTCGCCCCGCGACGAGAGGAACGTCGAGGAGGCGCGCAAGACGGCCAATGGCTGCAGCCACCACGTCAGCTGCCATTTCGATGGAAATGCGATGGATGTCCGCTATTTTGTATGATAAAATATCGGCGCAAAAAGCGTCTGGGTAAACCAGACCCGCCTCCGTGTCCCGCGGCGCGGCTCCTCGGCAACAAGGAGAAAAAGGGAGGAGAGAGCTTGTCGAAAAATCGCCGCACCCGAGAGCGAGAGGACGCCCATTATTATCCTTCTTCTCTTTGTCGAAGTGCGCAACGCGAGGAAGACGAAGTTGCGCGAGAAAAACGCAAGTGGCCAACGAGGAAAACGTTCGCGCGCGCCGTCGTCGACGAAAAGCCCGCGCGCGTCTAAATTTCCCTCGACAGATGTCTCACTTTCACCGCGACCGTATAATTCCACGTCGTCGCACTGGCTGACTGAGTTGACTGCCGGGGGGAGGTACGTCGTTCGCGCATATTGTCATTTTGCTCGGCCGATCGGAAAGAAGGGGAGGTGCCGCAACGGACGACAAAAAAGAGGGAATAAAAAAAAAAAAGCTAAGAAACGAGACTGCCGTTCCGAGAGCAAACAAACTGCGAAAGAGGTAAACGCGTCCGTCCAGCCGTGTGTGCGCGCGCGCGCGCGAGCGTTGGACAGCAAAATGACTCCACTTACGCGCCTTAGAGTCGTAGTCGCGGTTCCGACGAGAACGCGCGCCCGTAGATGTCGAGCGGCTCCGAGCTTTCACTGCAATTACGGAAAATTGCCCCCGTAGTCATAACAGTCGTTTTTTCAGGTGTTAAAGGCGACTTATCGGCAGGCGGGCGCGGTAATCTCTTACAATGAGGCCGATCGCGAGAATTTCCAGTCGGCGGTGTACACACTACTACTGGTCTCAAGTAGAAAACTGCTTCTTGCGTCAGCAACGCGTGATTTTCACGCGAACTTCTCGAAGCCGAAGGAAAGTAACGACAGTTACTGCGAAACGTGTAAATATCTCGTGCCATTTTTAGAGTTGATATTTAAAATAAAATAATTATACGTTTTCTATTTTAAAAACTGCAAGATACATATATGTTGTAATAAATGAGATTGATACATGTACGTCCGTCGCGTCTTATCGATTGGGTTATACGTAACGTTATGACGAGTCTCATAATGTAGACGTGAAGAATACTCACCTTTTCAAGCTCAAGGAGGTGAAACCGGAGGACCTGAATCGCTTGAACCATCTGAAACGAGAAAAAAGAATTGAATAAAATGCATTCGACAGAGGCAGAAAAAAGGCATCGGATGGTAGAAGCTGGTTCGGACCAGGGCGAGGGGTGGAGGGAGGAGCGACGAAGAAGGGACTGGGCAAGGGGGACAGAGTAGAAGGAAACATGAAGCAGACATGATTTAACCACGCGCTGCTGCATCGTCAACGGCAGCTCGGCAACAGATCGACGGTCATGGATTCTCCGGCGTGGATTCGATTTTGTTTTGTTTTTTTTTTTTTTTAATTTTTTATTTTTGCTCCCGCGCTTTCATTTATCTCTTCCGGCAAATATCGCGATGTAACAAAGATGGCCGCCATGTCGGCGGCGCGACGGTTATTAACGGGAATATTTATTATTACTGCGTTCCGCGCTAATTGCGCATCTCAACTCGGGAATTCGCGCGGTGGCGAACGTTGACAGTGTTCGATATCGCGGCGGGTGAACGACCAACGAAGAGATGCAAAAAAGGTCGCGATGCGAAACTGTCAGCTCGCAGTCTGCGCGTTTTCCGTTTCTCGTCCGAGAACAAAAATAAAGAATCATGTTCCGGGGGGGAGGGACAGAGGGGAGAAATTTATCTTCAATCGTGCGCCGCGCGTGCAACGATGTTTGAAAAAATAATAGAACAGATCGACACAAGTAAATATATGTGTACATACCCCCTGTCGTCGACGCGAGAAGGGGTAATGGTTGTTTTTCGAGACGAGAGATATCGAAAGCGCGTAGTCGACGGGAAGGACCATCGGTATAATTTTCCGATATGCTATTAACGTTTAAGGCCACCCGAGACCTTCCTCGACAAAATCACCTCACCGCGAGGAGGAGGAGGTCGTACGTTGCGGCGATGTCGTTTCCCCCCTCGGAGACAGCAGAAGCGGCGATTCAATTAGGCAAAGCGGCAATCTTAATTGTTAATTAACATTATATTTATGCAATTATGGTCCATTATGATTCCACGCGGCCGATAACGAAGCGGTCGCGATGGGAGCGGTGCTCCCTGAGATAGTGGACTCCTCCGAAGTCTTTGCCTGCCGTCTCCCGCTCCCTCTTTCACCGAAGGAAGAATACTCTCTAAACGATGCAGGTATATAACGTCCGAGCTTGTAACAACCAGCACGAGCGACAAGCGGACGAAAGATATCACGGTCTGCGAAGTGCATTTCGGTGCTCGTACGCGGCAAATGGAAACTACATTACATTCCGAATGAAATAAAATTAAAGATTACGACACACACACACACACACACACGCGCGCGCGCATGCACGTATATTTGGTGAATTTAGTTTTCAAAGATACTGTTTCTTCCCTAAATAAACCGGCTAATGCTGTAAGCGATTGTAAAAAGAAATAAATTGAAAATAAGTACAAGATACATGATAATGTAAGAGTATCCCCAACTCGGAAGTTGTCCGATTAGCTTCGTATTTCGAAATTAGCGACGACAACGAACACTCGAAAGTAGAACGAAACAATCGTCCGCATTGTACACCGGGAATGTCGGCGTCGACGAAGGAAGGAAATATGTATCGGGTCTTCGACACTTCGAGAGCCCCTCTCCTCGTCAGCGAACGGACAGCGAAGAAGCAGATGAAGGAGAAGGGGATAGGGCGAAGTAGATAAGAAGAGAAACAAGAACGCGCCGGGAAAGAGAGAGAGAGAGCGGGAGAGAAAAAGCGAAGATGGTATCGGTCCAGTAACGAACACACAACGCAGAACACCCGGGTGCTCCTTCGCGAGATGGTGCGAGGAGACGATTCGCCACGACGTGTTTCTCGTCTCTCCTCCTCGCCTTCGACATTACACACAATGTGTTCTCTATATCCGACAGTTTTGTTGCTCCCCCGACCAATAACGACGTAGTTACCACGACGCATCGCGAGCTCTCGTGCATACTCGTCATTAACCGATCCCCGCGAGAGCAGCATCACGAATATCCTTCTCGCGTTCCGACAGATTTGTAAGAAATTATCGGAAAGCTTTTTTTGTAATCCACATGTTCGTGAAAACAAGAAAAATAAATTTCTTCTAAAAAAAACCAAAAGATTACGTTAATCTCTTTTTACTCTATCCATCCCAATTTTTAGATGCAAACAAATTATCTCAACTACGATCAACTATTATCAGCTGTGATCGATCGATTGATTCCGTCGCATTTTTTCTTGATATATTAATTACACGGAAATATTTATATCGTCAAAACACACATAAATACTGTCTTTATTATCGTTTCAGTAGCTAGACAGCTTCAACAACAGCACGTTTGTGCGTCTAGCTGTCGCGCGATGTGAGACTCCTCGCGATGTCTAGTCCAGATCACGTCTCCCGTCACTCACTCACTCTCGCATTTTCTCGCCGGCTCCCCTCGCCCGCGATCTTTCGGCTCGGGAGGTTTTGCCACGATCGCTCATCACGTGTTATTAATTAGGCTTGCGAGAGCGGTCGAGTATCTCGCAGAAGGAGAGGCGAGGAAAGGGTCCCGAGAAGGAAGAAGAAGCGAAGGGGCAGAGAGAAGAAAAACTGAGAAACGCACGAAGAAACAGGGAGATGGTGTTATTTATAAGCCGACAGGGACGACGCAGTCGGAAGCAACGCCCGGCGACGAAGGGTGCCCCCACTTCGTCGGGAGTGAAACCCCTCTCGCTCTCTTTCGTTCCTTCATCAGCGTGTGCGCGGCTCTCCTTCCTTTTTTTCCTCTGCCTTCTCTTCCCCGGTCGCTTCCACTCGAGCGCCACTGCACCGTGACGCGCGATGCATGCTGCACCGACGAACGCGTGATGTATGCGCGAGATACGCGATGCTCACGTACGAGCGTAAATGAGAGCGTTGCGTCGGGGCTTCGCGCCTCGCGGATGCTGCCAACGTCTGGCGAGTGCTTACGCACTTGTGGATATATTTTGTGTGCGGAGACCACCACGTTCGTCGTGAATTATGAATAAACTCGTAAAATCTTGTCGGTATCAAAAACTACAAGCATCAATCTAAATCTTTTTTTTTTTTTTCAAGTCATCATTGTATAATTTATTTTCCCATCTCCAAAAAGATCGGCAAAAATTAATAAATTTGCAAGACTTAATTTATGGCAGAAGCGAGAAAGATGACGGAGTATCTACTTATCGAACAAGATTTGTCTTCGTCTTTATTTTTTACGAGTAATAATGAAGAATGCGCGCGCACTTGTTGCCGGAGTTGTTGTCAATTAATTTATGCATCTCTTTAAATTGACAAAATTAATTGGATGCTGTCAATGATGTAAATGCGGGCGTGCACCAATGTCCCACTTTTGCGCCAATCGATTCCATTACACGCGCGTCTGTGTGTATTAAACACAGTGTAATCCTCCCTCTCCCTCTCTCCTCCCCCGCTCTATGTATGTTGTTCTTCCGATCGTTTTTCTTATAAATCCGCGCACACATAACTGTCATTATTAATATAAATGTAAATTCCTTGGTTATGAAGCCGCGCGGTTATCAAGGCTAAAGAAACGGCATATAAAAATTTCAGGCGGGTCAATCCGTTCCGCGGTTCGTTAAAGCGTCGCGATTAGCATCTTATAATTGATTGCGGCAATTTTTGAGAGAATTAAATTCGATCTCGGCCGCTCTCGGGCATAAATCTTCGCGCGTAAATGCACCGCTCGTTTTCAACACTTTCGAGCGAAGTACGATGAAGACCGTGATTCGGCCTTGATGAGATCGTTACATCGCGATATAGCCAGGTCGATACCCGCAGCACATAGGTGAACCTTGTGCCGGGCAGATGGGCTTAAGCTTCATATTAATTAGTCTGCGTATACGTGTGTGCGCGCGCGCACGCACGCACGGAAAAAAAGAAAACGAGATGGCTGCCGGCGAGCGAAAGTGAGAGACCACCAAAAGGGTGAAGAGATCGCCAGAGATATAAAGAGAGATAGAGAGAATGGTCGACTGTGGTGGGCGACGCGCGGCCCCGGACACTTACTCGCGCGCGGGAAAGAATTCATAAAGTCGCAATACATATGTATAAACGTGGCCGCGTCGACGAGAGGCGTCGTTATCGATTCGACATACCTAATTAATTAACGAGCATCTCGCACCTTCTGTGAGTTCGCACGACGTTCGTTCTTCGGAGTCACGTGTGCGCGCGGAGAAATGAAAGTATCACATCGGATGGAACCGAGCATAGAGAAAACAGAAAATTGTGAAAGAAGAAGAGACGACTGAACGCGATAAAGATACAGGAAAGAAGCAAAGAACGCGAACTCGAGAGAAACGGTTACCGCGAGGTTTCGTCGAAGATTCTCTGGAAAAACAAGCGATCTAATAATCTTAAAGGCGCGTAAAGCTGTTAGTGAAACCGCGTCGATTCCCGCGAGACTGTCATGTCTCGCGGTAATACGCCGCCGCGAGTCTCACGCGGCGAGTACATAAACGGCACGTCGCGAGAACGGGTATGAAATTGCAATTTGCCGTAGAAATACTCTCGCTCTAGTCGATTTTAATCGAATCTACGCACACGATCTCGCAGATGTGAGAGATGAAATCACGAGCGAGCGAAGTGACGCGACTTGTACCGACGTACAACCGTAAATTCTCGATTGACGCTCAAAGGTGAGCGTCAAAAATTGCTTGACGATCGCAACGCGACAGACGCGCGTTGCAATATCGAGCAAAGACAGATCGACGGGACGAGATGTAAATTGCATTACGAAAGAGAGAAAGAGAGAGAGAGAAAGAGAGAGAAAGAGAAAGTGTGTGTGTGTGTGTGTGTGGGTCGGCGTTCGCTGTGCCTGCCTACATGCAAGCGACTCTAATGAATGGCCGTTAATTGTATCAATTATTAACGAGAAACATCGCGCGGACGCCGCGACGACTCTTATCGATGTCCAGTGATTTACGAGGCAAGAGAGCGTAGTCCGTCTCTCTCTCTTCTCTTCCCTCGGATTATAGTCCAATCTCTCTGTCCCCCTCATTCTCTCTCTCTCTCTCTCTCTGTG